ATGGCGTGTCCCCTGGAGCAGGCGCTGGCCGTGATGGTCACCACCTTCCACAAGTACTCGGGGAAGGAGGGGGACAAGTACAAGCTCAGCAAGGCGGAGCTCAGGGAGCTGCTCAACAAGGAGCTGCCCGTCTTTGGAAGCGTAAGTGAATTTGGAGCTGCCCAGGGAGGGGGGTTCTGGAGGGAAATTTGGCTTTTTTAAATTTTTTAATTTTTTTTTTTAATGCACCCAGAAATATTCAGCTTGGCAAAAGGGAAATCACGCTCTGATTTCCGCTTTATAACATTTTTTTTATTTTATTTTTTAACCTCCCTCCTCGCTTCCCCCTTCTTTAAACCCTCGCGGTTTAAATCGGGAGGAAGGAAAGATTTTCGGCCCCGCTTTCCCCCCCCCCCCACACCAAGTCCCAGAGACGCTTTGGGTGCAGCTTTCCAGGCCTCCTCCTCCTCCTCCCAGAGGCAAAGGGAAAAGCCTCCTTCCAGAGGCAAGAGGGAGAATTTTTCCTTCCAAAAGGAGGAGAAAACCCTCTTTCCAAAGGCAGAGGGAAAACTTCCCTTCCAGAGGCAGAGGGAAAACTTCCCTTCCAAAGGCAGAGGGAAATCTTTCCTTCCAAAAACAAGGAGAAAACCCTCCTTCCAAAGGCAGAGGGAAAATTTCCTTCCAAAGGCAGAGGGAAAACTTTCTTTCCAGAGGGAAAACCCTCCTTCCAAAGGCAAAGGGAAAACCCTCTTTCCAGAGGCAGAGGGAAAATTTCCTTCCAAAAGCAGAGGGAAAACTTTCCTTCCAAAGGCAAAGGGAAAACTTTCCTTCCAGAGGGAAAACCCTCCTTCCTGAGGCAGAGGGAAAACTTTCCTTCCAAAACCAAGGAGAAAACCTTCTTTCCAAAGGCAAAGGGAACCTTTCCTTCCAAAGGCAAAGGGAAAACTTTCCTTCCAGAGGGAAAACCCTCCTTCCAGAGGCAGAGGGAAAACTTCCCTTCCAAAGGCAGAGGGAAAACTTTCCTTCCAAAACCAAGGAGAAAATCTTCTTTCCAAAGGCAAAGGGAAAACCCTCTTTCCAAAGGCAGAGGGAAAACTTTCCTTCCAGAGGCAGAGGGAAAACTTTCTTTCCAGAGGGAAAACCCTCCTTCCAAAGGGAAAATCCTCTTTCCAAAGGCAGAGGGAAAACTTTCCTTCCAGAGGCAAAACCCCTCCTTTCCAAAGGCAGAAGGAAAACTTTCCTCCAGGCAGGGGGGAGGGAAGCAGGGCTGGCAGGGGAGCTCGGGGACCCCCCAAAACCCTCTCATCCCCCCCTCTCCCCCCATCCAGAAACAGATGGACGAGGCGGAGTTCAAGCGGCTGGTGAACGACCTGGACCACAACAAGGACAGCGAGGTGGATTTCAAGGAGTACGTTTGTTTCCTGGCCTGCATCACCATGGGCTTCAACGACTTCTTCAAGGACGACCCCAGCAAGCAGCACCGCAGGAAGTGACCCCTCCCATCACCCCCCATCATCAGCATCACCATCATCATCATCATCATCACCCAACCCCCTCCTTAAAGTGACCCTGAGGGGTTTTCAATAAAAGCTTTGCCCGGTTCTGGGTGTGTTCCGGAGGGGGGGGGAGGATGTTTCTGTGCCTGCTGGGTGAAACGGGCAGAGGGTGATGATTCATTCCTTCCTCCGGCTTCCCTGGGGGTTTTTTCCAGGCTTGGGACGCGGCCCTGGAAGGCTGGTTTTCATTTATTTTTATTTATTTATTTATTTATTTATTTATAGTTTTTAAATTATTTATTTCGTTTTTATTTATTTATTTAATTTATTCTTTCTTTCTTTTCTTTCTTTCTTTCTTTCTTTCTTCCTTTCTTCCTTTCTTTC